CTATCTGCATCTATCTCTCCTCCAATCTGTTCATGCTACTGAGACTGAACAGCCACCTCTCCCCACACACCATTCTCTCCCACAACAACAACAACAACAACAACAAAAAACCCAGTGGTTTCTCATCAGTCTTGAAGTAAAAGTCCTGCACCTCTACCCACCTCCAGCTGCAAACTGTACCAGACTCTCCTTCATTCCCTCTACTGGCCACAGTGGCCTCTTTTTGCCTTTTAGTCATTTTCTTCCCATTTGCCACAGGGCCCCTGCACATGCTGTTCTATATGGAATATTCTGCCTTCCTCCCTTGACCCAAGTAATTAGAATTCTTCCTTCAGGTATCAATTCAGGCATCTCTTCCTCACAGATGCCTTTCTGCTTATTTCAGGCACTCATAGCATCAGGCACCTCTCCTGGGCAGCACGTATTTTACAGCTCTTTGAGATCACCGTGTAACATGTCTGCCCTCCCGGACTCAAACCCCTGAGGTCACGGACCATCTTTGGTTCACAATGTACCCTCAAGGGTCTTTCCAATAAATACCAGTTGGACGATTAAGGAGAAGCGCTAGTTCCCAAGTATGAATCCAAATTTCTCAAAAGACCGTGCTCTGGAGAAGCAGGAGTCGGATATTCCTCTCGTTTCTGTCTCTCTCAGAGGCACAGAGCAGGCCCTAGTAAAAGGCTGCACCATCAGTGGTAGAAACAAGCCGGCCTCCTTAGCCAGAGGGAAGCCTGGTGGAGCTGGGAGCCAAGACTTTCCTCCCTGGGGGCGTCCGGCACAGACAACAGGGCTGGACACGGCAGATGCTGGACGAACAAGTCAGCGGTCGAGGGCCTCAGGCGGCCGCAGAGACCCCACGCTCTGCTCCAGCCGAGAAGGGGAACCTAGGCTGCTACGTGCCGGCGCTGGGATCTCGGGGCCCGCCTTTGCCCCCTGGAAACCTTCAACTGAGAAGGGCCAGGCTCAGGCCACACAACCGAGGCGCCGCCTCCAGATGCCGCAGCCACCCACCCCCGACCTTCCTTCCACTTACTCTGTGTCAGCTCCCGGTCTCCCGGCCGCAGCATTGCGCGAAACGCCAAAACCAGACAGCGCTCCCACCCACAAGACACAGCGCGCCTAGGTGGGACTGCGGCTCTACCCACCAATCCTGGCCCAGTGCTCTCGTGACGCTAAAAGAGCTGACCAATAAAAGAAGAGCAGTCAGGGGGCGGTTCAGAGGGGACTACTGGAAGACGATTGGTTTCTCCAAGCCGGAAGTTCTAGGGGAAGAACTAATTTGGAACCAATCGCGCGCTGCCTGAGGGTGTCGGCGCGGTCAGTGGCGGCGCTGAGGAAAGCGGTTGCCGCCATGATAGAGCAGCAAAAGCGCAAAGGCCCGGAGTTGCCACTGGTCCCAGTAAAGCGGCAGCGGCATGAGTTGCTGTTGGGAGCGGCGGGGTCGGGCCCCGGAGCTGGGCAGCAGCAGACGGCGCCGGGCGCTTTGCTGCAAGCGGTAAGTGAAGTAGCAGGCGGCTTTCGGCCCTCAGTTCATCTTCCTCTCTGAGAGCCTAGCACCCGGTTATCCCACACTGCGGGGAGGGAGCGCGAATAGCTCCCTGCAGTTAAAGTAGGGAAATATTGTGAAAGCGGTCGACACCCCCGCGGATGCCCCATTCGTTCCCCGGTTGAACGCCCGTTTTCAGCGTCTCGACCACCCTGTGAGGTGGCGTTAGAATTGAAGTTAAAGACCTTGAACTCAAAACCGGTAACAGGGCTTTTTCATACTTAATCTTCCACAGGGATCGCGCATAGAAT